CATTACATGAGACTGGAATGCCAAGGTGGGAAGTCAAATGACAACTGGGATCACAGGCAAGCATGGTCTGGGAGAACAAAATGAAGCAGGACGCAGACTGATAGAATTTTGCCAGGAAAACCCGCTGTGTATAACAAACACTCTCTTCCAACAACCTAAAAGACGGCTTTATACATGGACCTCACCAGACGGTCAGCACCGAAATCAGATTGACTACATCCTTTGCAGCCAAAGGTGGCGGACATCCATCCAGTCGGTGAAAACAAGACCTGGGGCTGACTGTAGCTCAGATCACGAACTTCTTATTGCCCAATTTAGAATAAAACTAAAGAGATCAGGGAAAATACACAGACCAGTTAGATATGATCTCACTAACATTCCTAGCGAATATACAGTGGAAGTGAAGAACAGATTTGAAGGACTAGATTTAGTAAACAGAGTCCCAGAAGAACTATGGACTGAAATCCGAGATATTGTTCAGGAGGCGGCAACAAAGTACGTTCCAAAGAAAAAGAAAACCAAGAAGGCAAAATGGTTGTCTGCTGAGACACAGGAAGTAGCCCACGAAAGGAGGAAAGCAAAAGGAAACAGTGATAAGGGGAGATATGCCCAGTTAAATGCGCAATTCCAGTTCAGCATCTTCCATAGAGATCCGGACCAAGAACTCCCCTTGCCCAACATGTTGATGCCTACCAGTCTCACTCCATGGCAGAACCATACAATTCCTATCTCTGATTTACAGTACGTCTCATCAACATATCAGGAGATCATACTTACTATTGGATAGTAACCTTGTTAATATAGCATAGATGTGAATATAATGAGGGTGCCCCTGGCACTATCCATAGGTAGAAGCAGGCTGAAAAAATATTGCCAATGAGTTATTAAAAAGTTGAAATATTTACTAACCAAGCAATATATTTATTACATGAGTAGGATTTGGCCCTGAGAAGCCGACGTAAAGGATCATGGGAGCATTAATTCAAAAACATCTGAGAGCTCCTCAAGACAAGAAAAAAAGTTTCTGAAAGTCCCAAATATTGCTCCTGTACAACCAATCTTATTTTGAGGATCTACATGATATTTCTCCCATCCTGAAGTATTCCTAAGGGAATTCCTAGCATGGCATGCACTTTTCATTCCCACTCCCCATCTCCTAACCCTAACCCTTACATTCACCCAGTATTTCCCAAAATGAAATGTACCCTTCCAAAGCTATCTGTTTGTGTTATTCTAGAACAAGCTACAGCTGCTAACACACACACAAAAAACACCCCTATTGCATTGTTTCCAGGATTCAGATTCAACAGAGATCAAACAAGGGAAAGAGAAATGCTAGCAATAAAAGAATACCTCCAGGGTTTGTTTGTTTTTTCATCTTCACAAGGATAGAGCGTAGATTTTCCATCTCTGGATTACTGACTAGTTTATTCCATCTACATTTAAACAAGACTACAAACTGCACTCTTGCCTTTGGGCGAAAGGAGGAAGGAAAGTTGTTGGAAATTAGTCACCCATGAAAATTCACGGAGTGCGAACAAGCATTGAGGTAAGCTGCTTTGAGCCTTTATTACAGTTATATTGTGCATGCAAGAGCACATAAAGCAAGCCAGATTGCAGTGATTAATATTTGCAACTTTTTAGTGTGGGCATTCAAGACAGTTAAGTTTTCTTCACCTCATTAATGGAAAATGTCGTATTTACAAATAAGCAGGGATATTCATCAAATTATATCAATATATCAGGAAAATTAAATAGGGCTTAAACTATGGAAATGAATCCAAGTCTCTCACCGCCTCTTTTTTGGTTTAAAACAAAGTGTAATGAGAATATAGCCTATCGATACATATACAAGCAACTTGGGCAGACTGCAAATCCCGCTAAAGGTACATCTACATGTAGAATTAATGCAGTTTGACCTTCCTTTCACTGCTGTGGCTCAATACTATGGCATCCTGGGACTTATAGTTTGCGGAGATACCAGCACTGTTTGGCAGAGAAAGCTAAAGACATTGTAAAACTATAACTCCTAAGGTTCCCTTAGTATTGAGCCATGTCAGTTAAAGTGGGGTCAAACTGTTTTAATTCTAGTGTAGATACATCCCAAAACTACCTTTCCCAGCCACATGACTGGATCACAAGATGGTAAAAGAATACCAGTATAAATAAATGTAAAGAACCAGTTCACAACTTCCAGAATCTTGTGTCCTCCAGGACATTTTATGCCCTCCAGAAATTCTGAGTTATAGCTCCCACTACTTGAAGTTATAGTCTGTTCTACAGTGTCCCAAAGTCACTAAACTGGGGAAAGCCGACATAAAAGGTGAAGTAATAGAGTAAATAATTGAATATATACTAATGGTGTCCGAAATGTGTGATGACGGGAAAAGAAAATTATATTTGAGTCGCAGTTGGCAACTCAATCTGCTGCAACACTCATGGCAAATTCCACTCTGGAGATTACTAGGAAAGGGACCAAAAATAAAATGGTCAATATAATAGCTTCTATATATGAAACCATGGTGCAGCCACATCTTATATTAGAATGTGAAACAGTTGTTCCTGATTTATCTTCAAAAACATCCTTAAAAATTAATAGAACATTATGGTAAAGGGGCTGAAGCATTTTCCTTAGAAGTAAAGGTAAAGGACTACTTAAGTACAGAACAAAGAAAATTGAGTAAGAATATGGTAGAAGCTTATAAAAGCATGCACAGTATAGAAATGAATCGAAAGAACGTGTGTTCCCTGATACTCAGAATATCCAAGTTAATCAGGTGACAGTAGATTCAGACAAATGAGAAACAGTATAACATTCATGTTCAGAATGTCTATGCTTATGGCTTAGAGGGCTTTAAAAAGGATTTGTGAAACTCAGAGGGTGAATCAATCAATAAACAAAATAACAAAGAGCCTTGTGAAACCTTCTAACTTAGCTGTACTTTGCTTGTTCCAACAATACATTTGCTTCTCTGTAAGGTGCCACAAGGCCCTGTTTTTGTTAGAGTGGATAAACACCTTGACCCTCCTGGAAGCTGTTGTTAATCATGAGTGTTGAATAGAAACACTATGTTTCTGTGTTGGGAGGGTTCCCAACCGAAAAAAGGTGCTTGCCTTCATGCCTTGCTTGCTGGCTTCCAAAGCTACAGGTATTGTTTGCTTGCTGTGACACAGCAAAGAGACAACTTTTCTTACATTCACATGTCATGATTATATATGACATATCCCTAAATAATTTTAAGCCAACAAAGGCCACATTCATATGAATGGGAATTGAATGTTCACTTTGCTGAGGAATACACAGGGGAAAAAATCCCTGTGGAGTTTAAACACTATCAAATGTTTGTACTTATCTACATTTATATTTTGCATTTCCAGCTGTGAGAACACAGATGTGTGTCTAGATTTCTTTTTTTCTGTTCTGTCGTTATAACAATTCTATGAAAATTGAGCCAAGAGTAAAATGAAGAATAAGTAGCCCTAGTTTCACAACAGTGAGGATTTGAACCTGAATATCCTAAGTCCCTGCTCAACATTCAAACCACTACACAGGCTTCTTCTAATGAAATAGGCTATTGCATGAAATAGCTCATGTTGTAGTAAAATATTGAGTCTCATTTTTAAAAATCCTGAGAAATAGTGTTAATCAAGAGAGTAATTTATTTAAGATGAGTTGTGATGATTAGAACAGAATTATAAGACAGCTAGGCACATTATACATTAACATTTAAAATTAACAGGTGACTAAAAAACAGATTTCCATAGTAGAAGCAATGCCTGCATCCAATGAAAAACAAACTTTGATTCAACCATTGCGGCATTCACTTCTAGCAAAGTAATGAGGATTACAAGTTAATCTAACTCACAAGCCATTTCATAACTCTAATCAAGCTCCAGGATAGATCAGGTATTCTTGTAATGTATGATTGAGTTAACAAATATAAAGCACCTGAGCTGTTGACACATTTGCAAGACAATGCATGTCTTTGTCATTTCTCACTCTGTTCAAATGATTTTCATTGCTATCTGCTCCCTGAAGATATACTGATTGCATCCAAGCATTTGGTAGTTTTACTGCCTGAGTCACTTATGATTGTCCAAGTTTCAATTCATCCCTGCTGCTACCTGAGTTTAATCTGTCACACTGTAATGCCTATAGTTGAAGATAGAATATTTTTAATTCTTTCACTTTCCGAGTCTGACTCAATTTTTGAAAAAGAAAAAAAGAGAAAATGCAGCAGTAACACCTGTAGTGCATACCATATCCAATGCAATGGACAGGTTGAATGTCTCTTATCCAAAATGCTTGGGACCAAAAGTCTTGAGCTAAGTTTTTTTTAATCGTATCAGAAATGACTTGAGAAACAGAGTTGCTTCTGGTGTGAGAGTCGGCCGTCTGCAGGGACATTACCCAGGGAATGCCCGGATGTGCTACCATCCTGTGGGAGGCTTCTCTCCTGCATGGGAGCTTGGGGCTGGAGAAGTGGATTGGCGTACATGACTCAGCTCCCATTTATGCCTTCACTCACACATTGAGAATCTAGTTTTAAATAACATTATCAATTGAACCAATGTAGACAATCCCTTTGAAGCCCTTTTGCCAAGATGGTTACTAGAGCATTTCATCAAATCCTAGTTTGTTAAACCCTGAGCTAAAGAACATGCCTCTGTGGCATCACAATTCATACAATTGTTGCACGTTCTCTCTTGATGTGTCACTGCCAGACATAATGGTAAAGAAAGACCCATGCGCTGTGACAAAGAAAGATATGGGGACAGTTTCAGCAAGGCCCATCATTCCTTGGTCAGTGTTTGGCAAGTACTGACTGCTATTTGGAATCTCCCATGTGTGCAGAAAAGGGCCAAATTAGTAAGTACAACCAGGGAAAACATTCTCATTCAAGAGAGACAACAGAGATTAGGTATAAGGTTTCATACCTTGCAACTTCTGCAGTAATATTCACACAAAAGAAATTGTCAAAAAAAGATCATAGAAGAAATATGACCAAAATATTTTATTGCCATAAAAATTATTGCATTTTTGGAATGTAGGAAAATACTATGCAGACAAAACAAGCTAAACATACAATATACAAGTGAATATGTTACATGGATCAGTTGTTGGTTCAGGTCAGAATGACAACTTATTTTTAATTACAATGTTTTAATAAGCTATCTTGGCACTTATTTTAATAGTATATACAGCATACTGTTCAAAGTGGCTCTTAAAACACAGCCTACTCTTTCAAAGTGCTGAATAAACAGAGCAAGCACATTTGGTTTAGACACAAGATCTGTGCTCTTTCTTTCCCTTCTGTTCCTTTGGTGTGTCCGTGAGATGTAGAGTGGAAGATTTCATTTCCCCTTTTCAATTATTGCTATAATATGACTAAATGTGAAAGTATGGTTAACTTTTACCATGCCTTAGCACAGGCATGAGCAAACTTCAGTCCTCCGGGTGTTTTGGACTTCCTCCCAGAAATCCCAGCCAGCTTACCGGCTGTTAGGAAATGTAGGAGAGCCGAAATTTGCCCATGCCTGATTTAGCAACATAAACTGAAATTGTGTCGGTTTCTTAAACCGAACTTAATGTTAACCAAGTTTGTCCTCAGATGTCATAAGCAATATTAAATTGAAAACAAGACCTCTTGCAGCTGTGCCAGATGAAGGAAGAGGCTCATTAAGCCTAAGTTTGTGTAGGTCAATGCAAATTCCTAGTATATTATTGCATCCATTAAGCCTTAGAACATATATAAAAGAAATCATATAGGCCTATATTTAATTAGTAGTTCCAACTAGATCTGATTCCTTGAATAAAATGTTAAATAATAAGCCAACACTTATGTAGATCCTATTAATTCAGATCTTCTCTAGTTCAGAGTATTACTATATCTTGGCTATTTGAAGACAACAAATTACATTATTCAAAAATGTCCTTATTGGGATTATTGGAATAATAACCATAGAGAAAGCAATGTAAATTTAAGATGGATCTTTCTGAACACCAAAATCATGATCTTCACATGGATATAATTATTTCAGGCATGTACTTTAATAAAAGTCTTAAGGAAAACAAATGTGTGACCTCAATGAAAAAATACGTTTTAAAAACTGAAGAATGTTTGTTGCAAAATGCAATTATCAAACTGCTTAACCATCTGAAAGTAAAGCTACATTCATTCACACTTGCCTTAATACAGGCTTATTACTGTGGCCTTACAATTGAAGTTATGCTAATTTTCTGCTTCTGTTGGTGGGAATGTTCCCCCTACAGAGTTCTGTTCTCAGGCTACTTTTGCCTTCTTTTTCTACAGCTGTTTTATTATTATTATTATTTTTGAACAAAATATTGCCAGGCTGCATTTCTAGAAGACAAAAGCAACAGTGAGGAGAAGAAAATTGTGTATGTTGTATGCCTCCTTTCTGCATTTCAAGTCTCTCTGAAGATTTTACACCTTCTATAAAAGATAAGTTTTCCTCCATCATAGAATAGAATGAAGATCACAATAAATCTGTATTTACAGCCTTTTTTTTCACACAACCCTCTAGATATTTCAGAGTACAACTGTTCCTGACCACTTGCCATTCTTGATGGGGCTAGTGAGAGACTAAAATCTCCAAAAGGCACCAGGTGAAGAAAGCTGTAGTAATTGTGTTGTATTTCTTACATATGTACAGGAAACATAATTTTAAATCATTAAAAATATAAAATACTTTAAATCTGTTAACATTTGATGTGCAAATCTTGATTACCGTTGGCATCTATAGAGCAGAAATGTCCAGTAACATTAACATTTTAGAAATTTAAAAATTATTTCAATCCCTGATCTGTCATGGAAAAGAAATGTTTCCACAATACCTTTTTGCTCCTTGTGGAAAATCAAAGTCCAAGGCTTGTACTTAAATATGCAGCATGTCAAAATAAGATTCAAAAGAAGGCATAAAAGGTCATCTAACAAGTTCAGTAGAATGAACCAACACAAAACAAGCATTTTAACATCACTGATCCAGAGAAGTTTCCTTCCCTTCACAATAGTTACCAAGCAGAGTCAGTTTGAAACCACCCTCACCTGTGGCTGTCATGCCAAACAGTTAGACATTTGTCAGAAAGTCAATTAATTGCTGTACATAGCAATCTCTCTCAAACTCAAGCTGGTTTCTAGAAAAAAATGCATGCATGTGGAGAAAGTAAATGACAATGGAGATACTTGTAGGAAACAGTGCATTTTCTATAAAGCTGAGACACGGTGAATAATACATCTGTATACACACTAAAAAAGACACCACACGACAGTGAGAGCTGCCACTATTCCATTAAGTATGGCCATACTGTAGCCCATGTGAAAAGAGTGTCCAGTCATTCGCCTAAGAAGAAAATAAGAAGATAAATTAGTAGGTAAAAGAAATATTGAAGGTCGAAGAAATTCACTTATTCTAATAGGAATATTCAAAGACAAATTGGAAGTGACAAAGGTCACAGGATATCTCTCCAGATGGATTTGATTTCAACTTCCAGAAGCCTTAGCCAGCATGCGAAGGGACTGTGGGATAAGCAACTCGAAGTATTGGAATACAGAGGTTTCCTGTACAGGTGGTCCCCAAGTAAGTTTGTTTTTGTTGAATTTGTATGCAAGTCGGAACAGAAACATGTTTAAGTATAACTCCAGTCAAATATATATAAGATTTGGATAGCATAGGGAAGGGTTAACACCCCTATGGCATTTGTTTTGCTTTCTTCATCCTTGGTCACAACAACAAACTTTATCTGTATTCTGCCCTATCTCCCTGAAGAAACTCTGGGCAGATTCCAATCACAAAAAGGCAAAAACATTCAATGCCTGAGCACAACAACCAATATACACATAACAACAAAAATAATAACCCAACATATAAACAAATTATAACTTAACAACAACATTAAAATAAAAACACAGAAGATTTCATCTCACTTTTTATCACTGTGATAACTGGATTTTGAAAAAATTGGCTTGTTGTGGATTGGTGAGAAAGCTTCAGTGGAGACACCTTTTCCCCATGATAACTCTTTCAGCAGTGAATTTGTCTTCCTAGGGGCAGCTTTCTCAGATTTCCTGTAGCCTCACCCCAGTTCTTAACTATGAGTTGTCTGTAAGTCAGATTTTTGTAACTTAGGGACTGCCTGTATTCGATTTTACTTCAATAAAACCTGCCACAAACTGCAGAGCTCCATCTAGTGGCAACATGATGATCCTTCCCTGTTCTGGCCACCCTTTTCTGGAACGATCTTCTCTTGTCATACAGAACATGTGTTTACTGATCATGCATTTATTACCGTTATTTAAAAAACTACTTGTTTACTGTTCCAAACCATTAAGAGATTAGTTGTTCTAGTTCTTGTTTTACAAAGCCTCCAATTTCTTAAACAGTTGTGTTTTTATTCTTCTCTATGTCATCGTCTGCTGGAAACAACTTCGGCATTTTATGTTATCAATTACTTGTTTTATCTATAGACCGACTCCCTCTTAATATGAGGCTCTGATGGGCTTACACTGTAGGATAAAATATACAGCTAAAAGAACACATAATACATTTTTTTTTAAAAAAATAGACACACCTATGAACAATTATGAAAATCAAAATTCATTTGTACAACTAATTAAAGAGCTGAAGTGTCTAAATACGAGTGTCTTTGCCCCTTGGTGAAACCAGATTAGAATCAACTAAGCCTCCCTTGGAATGAAGTTCCACTGCCTAGCCCCTGAGATGGCTCTCCTATGTCCTCACCAAGTATGCCTCGGTGAGACTGTGAAAAAACCCACCTGAAGACCTTAGAATTCAGGCAGGTTCATAGAGAAGAGATGGTCTTTCAGATAGTCTGCACATAAAATCTTCCCAAAATGGAAGCACTTACATAGTTTAAATTGAGTTTAAAAGGAAGTATTGGAGACCCTAAGAGATGTTAAAGGTAAAGGTAGTCCCCTGACATTGAGTCCAGTCATGTCTGACTCTGGGGTGTGGTGCTCATCTCCATTTCTAAGCCGAAGAGCCAGTGTTGTCCGTAGACACCTCCAAGGTCATGTGGCCGGCATGACTGCATGGAGCGCCGTTACCTTCCCGCTGGAGCGGTACCTATTGATCTACTCACATTTTGCATGTTTTCGAACTGCTAGGTTGGCAGAAGCTAGGGCTGACAGCGGAAGCTCACGCCGCTCCCCGGAATCGAACCTGCGACCTTTCGATCAACAAGCTCAGCAGCTCAGTGCTTTAACCCACTGCGCCACCGTTAGAATGTTTTAATTTACACCTTGCACTGATATTATCAAACAGAAGTTTTGTGACAGATGTGAAAACTTATAGTGGTGCACACCCTGCTGGCCAATTTATAGAACTGCTTAAAAACAATTTCAACAAAATTTACAAATAGGTGGTAACAAAATAGTCAACATAGCCAGAAGATTACATTAGCTAGAATGGAAAATACAGGAAAGTATTGGTCTATCTTGCCTATACTGTTGGAAACCATTCACCAGGTTTTCAGGCAGGAGTTGTTTTCAAAAAAGATTGTGTGGAATGAATGTAGGGCCTTTTGCATGAAATGCAATGTATGGGCTCTGCACCTATATCCTCTCCTTATTTGTTTCTCCAAGAATTAAATCCTTGACTAAAGATAGAAGTAAATCCAATCTTTCTTTCTTTCCTGTTTTAGTTGTCTGTTCAGTTTCTAAGTTCTCCAGATTGGGTTTGGGGCTTGCACAGTGGTCTACTGTAGAAAAGCTGCCTCTTACCAGTTTTGTTGAATGCTGCTATTCTGCCAGTGAAATACCATCACTAGATACTGCCTATAGAGTTCATGCCATTCTAACTGGACATTTGAGACTTCACTCTGGTAGCCAATCAACATATATAAGTATGATTTTATTTTCTAGAAAGCACAATTGTGTTATAATCAACAAGTTTATTAAGATTGTTCCTTAAACATCTTGAGTTACACACTATGTTATACTTGGTGTGCCTAATGTATGAATTTCTACAGCTGATTTGCAATTCCTACAACACGTCACATTTTAATCTTAGTAAAGCGATACTCACTTGAATCGTGCAGGAGAGAGTGGGGTAGGAGGAAACATTCCTGGTTCAAAGGAATCAAAGTATGTCACTGTCCAGGAAAAACTGCAGCACGACAGCCCAGCCATTAATGACAGAACAAGAAGAGTCCAAAATCCTTGCAAAAGAAGAGCACAGTAGTAAACATTGAAAGCTTAAAATACAACATTAAAAAGATAATACACAGGAGTTATTGCTAGAAAGTAGAAAAACAAAGGAGGTAACAGGCATACAATTGGCTAAATACAATTCAATCTACACATATTTACTCAGATGATGAATGTGGAATATTCCCATATAATACCTGGACCATTACTTCTTAAACTGAGGGTTCTGGCCTCAAATGGGGTCCCCTTAGCTCTATGTTGGGTTCACGACAAATTTGGTAACAATTTTTTTTCTGAATGCAACCTAGATATTTACAACAACTCTGTTAGCAACAACTCTGCAGAAATCGCTGTAGCTATATTGCACAAAAAAGGAAAACCAGACTGTTCAGCAAGCCTTGCAAATGCTGATTTATTAGTAAGTGTTTGATTTATATAACTTTTTATATACCTATATAGCTGGGGTCACATAAAAATTTCCTGGGAACCTTGCTCCAGATAGTAGCTTCATAGTATTTTTGACTGCTTTATTCATAGCAAACAAGGAGTTAGCTTTCAAAGTACAGGGAATATATGTTCCCTTCAATGGAACGTATATCCCCCTACCCCACACAGTGCTTGTCATTCCAATCCCATTTTTGAAAAAAAAATCATTATACTCATAATTACCTCCTCTAAGGTGAGCAATCTCACTATGTTTTTGATTTTCCTATCCTCTGCTGGTTTAGACTGAGATCCTTATAACACTAGATTGCTATAGCAGTATGGTTTCACATAAACTACCATACCAATGGTAGTTAAAGGATCCTGGGATTTGAAGTTTAGGGAAGAGTACCTAGGATTCTCCACCAGAGAGGTCTTTCCCCACCCCCAACTACAAACCTTGGAAATCTACAATATGTTGCCATTATAGTTAGACGTGAGACATTGTGCTATAAAAATGTAATGTAAGGAAAGAAGGAGGACCCTTATTAAAAAAGGAGGAAGAGGCATTTTTAAATGAGGAAGAATAACTTCTGCTTCTATATAAAGCTCCTCCTCCAGACTATAACAGACCAAGGAGAGCAAGCACATTTGTGAAAGAGAAAACTTAAAAGTTGTTTTTGTTTTTAAGGAAAATTTTAAAAATATAGGTGGTGGTGACCTCAATTATGGTCTTGTGGTTACATTATACCCACCTCACTCTAAAGCACTGAATAATTCATTTTATACTAAGTGAGTGGGTAGAATAACATAAGACACTTAAGGCACAAATCAAGATAACTGTAATGTGATTTCAGCATACATGATTTGCTATAATTTTAAATTTACAAATGTAGGCATGCTTGAAAATATTTTTTTGGAATATGAATGGAATACATATTAGCACTCATGGAACATTATAAACCTCAAATGTAGGATATTTATTTTGATTATTAATTAAGGTGTTGGATAATTTTACTGTTCCTTTAAAAAAGAATCATTTTTAAAATATAGCAGTCATTGATCCAAGAATGAGTAATGCACCTGTAAGTGTTCCACAATGAATGAATTTTAAAAATGTCTTACCTAAAATACTTGTTTCTACAGTATCTTCAGCCCTTGCTTTTTCATATCTCAAATCTGCAAGGAGAAGGCATGGTTATCTACAGTAGCCACTGGGACCTACCCTCAGAAAACATTTTGAATATCTTGCTTATGTTTTTTTTAAGAAAAGAAAATCATTTTGTCTCTTTGCAATCATGAAAATTGGCCACATCCTCTCTTTCCTGAACTTCTCTATGCTGTAGCCTGGGTACATTCACCTGTCTATAAATATATGTACATAGAAACTCCTATGACATCAAGAATGCCTGAGTGAAATTTAGCTTTGAATGTGGTAAATAATATGTATATCGTGTAGAATCAGATCCCATATGATCTTGGAAGCTAAGCATGGTCAGACGTGGTTAGCACTTAGATGGGAGGCTCCCAGTGAAATACAGCCAACAGGTGCTGTTGGCTGTATTTCAGGGAAGAAACTGGTAAAACCACCTCTGAGTATTCATTGCCTAAGAAAACCCAATCAAATACATGGGAACGCCATAAACAGTCAGGTAGTCTAAAGGCATATGCATGCACACACACACCAGGGCCTGTAACCATCCAATATATTATGAAGCAGGGGCCTAAATACCTAAAAGCACCAGATCTTCTCTGATCTTGGAAGCGAAGTTGTATCAACACTGCTTACTACAAGGATAAAGGACCATCAAGGATTAATGGATGCTGTATACTTTATTTCAGATGAAGAAACTATCAAAACCTCTGAGTATTCCTTGCCCTTCACAGGCAATGCGACGACAAACACTACACGCATACTATATATAATAATAGCAAAGACTGAGGTATCAGTTTATCCAATATGGGGGATATTTTTCTTCTAAAATTCCAGAGGTTGGCACTATATTTGTATTAATAAGCTACAACTGAGTCTTGCTTTCCTGTGAACTCACTGTGAACCTTTAGTCAATCATGCATGACCCATCATAACTATGCTTGCCTAGGGTGACAGTAAACTTTAGAATTAATTCAGATTGACACCGCTTTAACTACCATGGCTCAATGCTATGGAATCCTGGGAGCTTGGTGAGGCACCAGCACCTTTTGGTCCCATCTAGTAAAGGTTTCCCCTGACATTAAGTCTATTCGTGTCCAACTCTGGGCGGTGGTGGGGGGTGCTCATCTCAATTTCTAAGCCAAAGAGCCGGCGTTGTTCGTCGACGTCTTCAAGGTCATGTGGCCAGCATGACTGCATGGAGCACTGCTACCTTCCCGCAGAAGTGATACCTATTGATCTACTCACATTTTGCATGTTTTCAAACTGCTAGATTGGCAGAAGCTGAGGGTAATAGTGGGGGCTCACCCCGCTTCCCGGATTTGAACCGCCGACCTTTCAGTCAGTAAAGTTCATCAGCTCAGCAGTTTAACCTGCTGTGCCACCAGGGGGACCTTTGGCCCCATCTACAATGCTGTATAATGTACGTCACTGTACTGAACTGGATTATACGAGTCTACACTGCCATAGAATGCAGTTCAATGGAAGTGCAGATGGGGCTTCTGGCAGAACAGGCCAAAGACCTTGTAAACCTATAACTCTTGGGAAGAATTGCATTGATCCATGGCAGTTAAACTGGGTGTCAAACTGCATTCCTCCTCCAGTGCAGCCATGTTGCATCAGATCCAGTTCAGGAGTGAACCACTTTGGGGCTTAAGCGGTTGAGGGGGGGAAGGACGGGGCCTGGGGCTGTTTGGAATTGTGGGAGTGGGCATCCAGAACTCCTGGAGGGCCCAAGTTGGCGTTTCTCGGCGGGTTCCGAGCGCCCCCCGCCCCGTCGGCGCTCACCTCTCAGCACCAGGCAGCCGAGGGCGAGCAAGAAGGCCAGGAAGGTCACGGCCAGGAGGCAGCAGAACACAGCGCAGATCCTGCTGGGCCACCGGCGCCCGGGGAGCGACACCCCGAGCAGGCCCGCCCGAGGAGAATTCGCGGGGGAGGCCTCGTAGCTTCGCCCAAGGCCGCCCAGCACGCCTCCCGCACCCCCTCCCTCGCCCCCCTCCTCCTCCTCCTCCTCGAAGTCCGCCTCCAGAGTCCGCGCCACCCCGCCTCCGTCCGGCGTCCAAGCCGCGCTAGGCCCGCTCTGGCTGGAGCCCCGATAGGACGCTGCCATGGCAACCGAACACTCAGGCAGGAGGGGCGGGGGAAGCAGAGGCCCACCACTCGGCCTACACCGGAAGTCTAGGCAAGAAAAAAGGTGGGTGGGGAAATCTAGAAGCCCCGCCTTTTCCTGCGTAACGGCAACGAGCGGCCTCCCATCATGCTCCGCGCCTTGAACCCTCCCCTTTTCTTAACCCTCACAACGGCTCTCCTTTCTCTTTGCCTGCCTCCTCCTCCTTTCCCTGGGCTAAGGAAGGGCCCTCTTGGGCTTCCGTAGCCCTGCTAGCGGAAGCCGCTTTCCCAGTGTCCTTTGCGCGGCCCGTCTCTTTTTCTCCCTCCCCTCCCCCTTCCCGCCTGTGCTTCCCATTCCTCCGCCTGAGGCCTTCTTCTGGAGGGACGAGGTCCGGCCTTGCCCGCCCGCCCGCGCCGCTTTGGCCTCCTGCGGCGAGGAAGACACAAGAGGGTTTTTTTGTTTGTTTCTCGACCCCGCCCGCGCCGTAGGCTGACTTTCGACGACAAGGCCGCCCCCCTCCCCCCACTCCGCGCGCAAATTTCCCCCCCGGGGAGTTTCTTCCGCGCCCCTCTCCTCAGGCAAGCAAGCAGGCAGGCAGGCCGGGCCTAGGCGCTCGAGAGAGAGAGAAAGGGAGGGAGGCCGCCCGGCCGGCCATGTCAGGCGGGGACTCGGCGGCGGCCTCCCCGCAGGCGCTGCCCTTCTCGCTGCCCAAGCCGCCCCCCCTCATGCAGCTCAACCCGGGCGAGGGCGTCCGGCCGGGCCCAGAGCAGTCGCCCAAGAGAGGCCGCGGCCCCGACTGGCCCTCCGGGAAGCCCGTCAGCCTCTTGGCGCCGCTCCTGCCCCCGCGCGGGGAGCCCGAGCCCCTGCTGCCTTTCGGGCCCGCTTCCCGCCAGCCGCTCCGAGGAAGGATGCTCGGCAGGTGCGGAGGAGGAGGAGGAGGCCCCGGAGGAGGAGGAGGAGGCCCCGGAGGAGGGGGGAACCCTCTCAACCCGGCCATGAGGCCCGGAGGAGGAGGAGGAGGACCCGGTGGAGGCGGAGGTGGCGGCGGCGGCATGGGCCGAGACGCCCTCATGGTGAGTTTTGGAGTGGCCCTTGACCCCCACGCAGACTTAATGCAGCCTGGCTCCGCTTCACGTGCCTGCACACAATGCCTTGGGACTTCCCTGCCAAAGAGTGCCGGCGCCTCACCAAACTCCCAACTCCCAGGATTCCATAGCGGTTACAGTAATGCCAGGCCGCATTCATTCTCGTGCCCGTTTGGTTGCCGACCCTCAACTACACCCCCAACACTTTCCTCCAGTCCGCTTTCGCAATCCTCCCAATTTTGTGTGGTATTTATCCCTTTATGTCCTGTGGTCAGGAGCCCCTGGTGGTGCAATGGGTTAAACCAGTGGTTCTTAACTTGTGGGTCCCTAGATGTTTTTGCCTTTAACTCTCAAAAATCCTAACAAGTGATAAACTGGCTGGGATTTCTGGATGTTGTAGGCCAAAACGCCTGGGTACCCACAGGTTGAGAACCACGGGGTTAAACCCTTACGCAACTGAACTGGTCGACCAAAAGGTTGGCAGTTCGAACCTAGGGAGCAGGGTAAGCTCATGTCAGTCAAGCTCCAGCTCCCCATGCAGGGACACAAGAGAAGCCTCCCACAAGGATGGTAAAACATCAAACATCTGGGCATCTGCTGGGCAATGTTCTTGCAAACAGTCAATTCTCTCACCCAGAAATGACTTGCAGTTTCTCAAGTTACTCCTGACACACACAAAAACCTGGGGATCTATGGACCACCAGGACTAAAATATGGTCTGCATCCTCACTGTTACTACACCATTGCAATGAGAATGACTGGTCTAGCAAAACCCTCTTATAGTGCATAATAATAATCTTTATTTATATCCTGCCACCATCTCCCCAATGGGGACGCAGGGCGGCTAACATGAGGCCAAGCCCAAAAATACAATACAGCAAAATAAAATAGAAAGCAACAAAAATTACATCGCAATAAGATACATGAAGTAACAAAATAAAATAAGTATTTAGTCACTCCTAAATCTTTATGTATTTATTTATTTGGTACACTTGTATACCGCTAATTTCTCAGCCTAGAACGGCGACTCAATGTACCAGGAAAATGTTTTGAATGGGTTCGTAGGTTGGTTGCTAAGCAATTTAGAGGTAGATACAGTACTTGATAATTGGTTCAAGTTCCAGATACAATGTGTTCACTGCTAGTGGAGTAGAAAGGTAATATTTTCTTGATTCCTGTTAATATATAAACTTGTTATTGTACCTTTATAAAGCCATTTTTGTACCCTGACGCATGAGTGCTTTGAAGTCCTTTAAACCCTTAAGTCTGGACATAGGAAAATGTCAGAACCAAAAGCAATTTATGTAGACAAATGGAGGCTCAATGTAAGAAAAAGTTATTTTGCATGTGTGGTATTCCACACAATTGGTTTTATTTCTCTTTTCTTCAGTCTCAGACAGCTTTATTATCTTGATGATGACTAGTAGTCATGTGCATTTGGGACATACCTTAATCCGTTTTGTGTCCCGGCTTTAGGTGGGGGGCCCAATCCGTTTTTGTCTGAGCCTCCTGAATTCGGGAGGTCAGATATTTGTTGTTGTTTTTTTTGTTTTTGTTTTCAGGGCCAAAAGATCTGTTTTCTTTCAGCCTATTGTTGAGGGAGGAGACTTCACCCGTAGGCCCAAACTGCCTGAGCCTGTGGGTGCAGGCTTTGGGCCTATGCACCTGGGCCTTGCAAGGTCTGCAGCTGAGCGCCAAGTAAGGAGCGCTCCTTACTGAGTGCTCAGCTGCAAGCCCTGCGAGGCCGAATGCATAGCCCCACAGCCTGCACCCGTAGGACTGGGCACTTCGTACCTATGGGTGCAGGCTTCCTGGCCTACATGCCTGGACCTGGGAGGGCCTGCAGCCAAACACCAAGTAAGGAGCACTTCTTACTCAGTGCTCGGCTGCAGGCACTGCCAGGCCCCAGGCAATTGATACAAAAAGCAGGCTTGGAACTGGTACCCACTCCCACCCCTGCCTTTCGTATTGATTGCATTTTCATTCCAGGTAAAACATGATGTTTTGGTGTTTCATTTGTAAAATCATAATATGTATTGAATAGGCTTTCCTTAATCCTTCCTTATTATCCAACATTTTCACTTAACCAATGTTCTGCCGGCCCATTTATGTTGGGTCCTACTGTATATATTGTATACAGTCAGTCTGCCCATATTTTCAGGTTTTGATTTGGTGATTTGAGTGTGCACTGATTAATTGAAATGTTTTCTCATGAGAATATCTGTGCCAGTGCAACTTCTGTCGGAATCACACTGGAGGACCAAGACCAGCTCTCTAGGAATCACTAGATTGCTCCAGCATGATACTAGCCGAAGTTGACCATAGAATCATGCTGAGGAACCTAGAGATTCCTGGAGAGGTGTATTCTCGGGCTTCTAAAAATAATTTTTAAAAATGGCTTCTAATGTTAAATAGTATTGTTTGGTAACAAAAAGTGGTCCTTGTTTGATCATTTCTAGAAAGTGAGTCCAAGGAGCTAGATTCTGATGTGTTAGTTAAAATATAATGACATCAAAGAATTAGATTCTGAAGTCTTATTGAAAATCTAATGGTTGCAGGATGGCGTGATAAAGTGGAATCATCATCAGTTCTTCTTTAAAAGATTGTTTGGTTTGAACCCCCGGTATACATGCTGTTTATTCTTGAATGCCTGCTGCCTAGTCAAGAGTAATTATAGTGTATTGTCATGCACAGTTAATGATATACGGATCTTGGGCAGACTGTTTTAGAACAGAGGCCTGGTAATCATTTCCCACCCAGAGGCTGAGGTTAATACATCTTGCTAGTGTGCTTTTGTCCTTCATTATGGTGTGTGTATTAATAATTGGCAAAATACTCTTTTTGCAGCATTATGGAATGATGGGTGGTATATAGTAAATACTTGTAGTAGAGGAGTTCTATGCACTATACATAATATCTCAAATGTATCATGGGGATACCACAGCATATCCATGTGTCTCACCAGTCCTGCCTATTAACCTGTATAGCAGACATACTTCCAGGCTAGAATATTTAAAGGTTATATGGTATATTTATAAGTATATTTGAAACATCCTAGGAACATCATCTGCCACTCTGAGCCCTTAAGAGGAAGGACTGGGTATAAATTAACAGCAATGCTGAAAATGTGTGAAGTAGCCAAGTAATTTGCAATTTTGACCAGTGGCCTTTAATTCCATTTTACTTAAAAGTATTCATTTAGAATAGGGATGGGTGTAATTTGATCCTCCAGAAATTTAACTGCTATGGCTCAGTGCTGTGGAAACATGGGAGTTGTAGTTTGGAGAGGTGCCAGCACTATTTGGTAGATAAGGCTTTATAAAGACTTTATAAAACTACAACCCCCATGATGCCATAGCATTGAACTGAATTTTATGCTCTCCTCGTAGACAAAATCAAGAATACAGTGTTCTTGATTATGTCTACGAGGAGAGCATAAAATTCAGACAAGTTTGCTCTTTTCCTAATGTCACTTATATTGTTTCTGAGGTCTTTGTATTCACAAACGCTCCTGGTTTTTTTTCTTCAGATGGGACATCCAGGCATGCCCCATTACCCACCCATGGGGATGCATCCCATGGGCCAAAGGCCGCCGAATATGCCTCCAGTATCTCATGGAATGATGTCTCAAATGATGCCTCCAATGGGAGGACCACAAATGGGGCAGGTAAATTAATCTCTATGATTTTTTTTGTTGCACAAGTGGCTGTAATTAGTTACAGAAATGTATGCATTACAATTTTAAAACAGTAATTTAAATCTTTTATAAATATTTCTGTACGTCATTAAAAATAGCACTTGGCCTCAAATAACTATAGTATTCTAAATCTTTTCTCTTTTTTTGTAAATAAATATTATTTAATTAATTGAATGCAATTTTCTGCATCTAGTTTAATTACAACAGTAATGCATGTTGAAGAACTTTAGCTTCATAGTTCTCACTATTTGGTTGTATTGTTGTATATGGAACGTCATGGGCATATTTCTCAGGTTGCTCTACAA